AACAAAGAGGGAAATAGGATTTGCAGTTATATATCCAGCCAGAGGATTTGAACATGGATAGGACAAACAAGGGAAGATTTTTGCCCAGAAAATAATTCTTTTTACAGGCATTAAGTCACCCCAGACACTAACAGTATCATTACAGGAGCATTATAATATTAAAGTCACAAATGAATAGCCTTAAAATCACATCAAAGGCTAAGCAGCATGAGGAAATTCTTCCACATCTTCTTCCACCTCATAGGGTTTTTGTTGTTGTTGTTGTTGTTGTTGTTTTGTTTCTATTTTTAAAACTGGTGAACAGCTTCAACTTCTTTGTACTTATTTGCAAGAATGTGTGCAAACATGTCGGAGTGTATGTGTATAATGTGTGTGTCTTTAACCTCTGAGCATACCTGTGGAACTGATTGAAATAAAAAAGCAAAACTCTAGATTTTCTTAAAAAATAAATTCATGAGCATGTAATAGATTCAGGGGATCAGAAACAAAGCATTAAAAAATATTGTTTAATACCAGGATGTCTATATTGACTAAGGTTCAAAGAAGAAAGTTTCTCTACCCTGAAAGATGTTTTCCTTTAAATTTTCTGTACCACTAAATCTTGTTAATTTAAGCTTTATATCAGGATAAGACGTATCCAGTAAACGAGAATTAGGCACCAACTTTGAAATGGAGACAGAAAAAAAGTAACTTACAGTAATCAATGATCACCTTCAAAGGAAAGAAAAAGGGAAGAACATTATAAAAGATTTTCTCAGACATGTAACTGGTAGTATGAAGGTGACAACCATTAATGAAAAGTTACTTCATGGGCACCTGGATGGCTCAATTGGTTAAGTAACTGCCTTTGGCTCAGGTCACGATCCTGGAGTCCCAGGATCGAGTCCCATATTGGGCTCTCTACTTAGAAGGGAGTCTGCTTCTCCCTCTGATCCCCCCCGCCATGCTCTCTTTCTCATTCTCTCTCTCTCTCAAATAAATAAATAAATAAATAAGTAAATACTTTTTTAAAAAAGTTCATTAAGGAATTCACATCTATAAAGTAGTATCTATAAGGAGAAAAAAACATAAAATTAGATCAATGTGCACTGCCATTACTGATAAAAGGAAAAAATTAAACAATTACAGCATGCTGTGCATACCAGGAAATTTAACTTGTATTCATCTTAGGGTAATTGGTTCATAGTTTGCTGAGGAATGTCAGTTGTTTTGTAATCCAATAAAAAAACATTTTAAAATTAATGGCAAAGAAAAAAAAGGAGAATCTAAACTCTGCAAAAAATGCTCTATGGAATATTTAGCAACTCTAAACAAAAAGATCACACAAATTCTAAGATTGACAGCATCCTGAGATGTTATAATTCTTTCTATTTTTTAAATGGAACTTTTTCCTTTAGGATGGATATCTGTTTACATTATTTTTAACTGTATCTAGATAGGAAGACTCCAAGAGTATAATCACTTTTAGCCTAAAAAGATTATAAAGTCTCTGTATTTGATTTATTTATCTTTCATTTATTTTAGAACAAAAAGTTCATTTTTTTATTTGAGATAAATTAGCCCCATAATATTCAATATGCTATAATCCTCAGTTTTTTTTGACTTGGTGTGAACAAAAATGCCAATTTTCAGTGAAAATGTATCTTCAAGACATTTTTCTTTGGGTCCAAATGGTATAAATTGCCAACAAATATTACATTCAAAGTAATATTAATATTTTTGTGACATATAAAAATTATCTGTATCACCATTGAGTCAAATTATTTGTAATTCAAATATATTTTACCTCGGAGCAAATATCTGATTTTTATAAACTCAAGAAACTAAAAAGTAACAAAATAGTTTAGGGTGAGAGGATAGTCTAAATTTCATTATATTTATGTGTGTGCGTTTATCAGTCATATTATGACAAAGAAAGGAGGGAGAAACAAACATAATTCCCTGTCTTCAGATCAATCCTAGAGCAGACTTTTTTCAATAACTTGTCAGTACTAATAAATAATTTCCTAAATACTGCTGGGTTTTGTCTACATTTCTTCATTTAATTTTTACCTTATATAATAAATCTTTACTGACTTAATTCTGGAATTGTAAGTACTACGAGATAGGCACACATTCCTTAGTCCAGACAAATTTGCAAAGCTCATTATCTTGAACCAGATAGGAAAAGACCTTCAAGAATGATTTCATTTAGCTTTTGAGTAAGTATATTTATATAAAACAACATAAAATAACTTATCCATGAAAAATAAAATAAGATGGCCAGAGACCTTTTTTTAATAAGACAAACACTCCCTGAAATTCAAGAATGTGCATTCAACAAAATGAAGTAATGAAAATTTCATGCAAAAAAATATGCTGGTAAAAAAATACAAGTCTCAGATTTGGGGGGTTAAGATTGGTTTCTCCTTAAATTAAAATTCCTAGTCTTTGCGTAGTAAGCTGTGTTATGAAATTAAATAGAGAAAAATTTTAATATAAATAAACAAGGTACAAATTAATAAGGTATTGCTATTTTTAAAAAGTAATATACTTCTACAAGACAATACATTCAAAAATTTATCTTAGCAAGTCTCAGATTTAGTTATGCTGAAACTTAAGCTTTGGGTCTACCTTTGACCTTTGAGTGTAGATGTGATTCTAGTATAACTGAGAAATTATACTAAAATTTAATTATTCTTATACAGCAAATCCAGGTACCTATAGAATTCACGTGGTGCATGTGTGCACACACACACATGCTAAAGCATTACTACTCTTCAGTTACCAAGTAATAGGTTAATTGAACCTTCTCTCAAACACTTTGTCTAATGCTACAGATGCAACAAAGTGAATTGTTTTTTAGTTAATTTTGTGTATATATTGGGGAAGAAAAATTTTTGAAAACAAGGGCTGATTCACATACAAGTAAGCAAGAATCCATAGCTGAATATCATCAGTAAATTCACATTAACATTATGTAGGTTAAATAAATATAGTGTGGATAAGTATATAATAAAATACATTCTATATTTGGTTTCTTCCTTAAGAAAACCTTAAATACATAAATTTATTAGATCTTAGATCTCAAATATTTCCTCCAGTTTTATTCACTTCCTTCAAATGTGGACCTAAGAAATACAGTATCTTCTTATGATCTCCATCCCCTAACTATAACTAACACTTCTGGATTTATTGGAAAGGAAGAAGCCAACTTGTATCTCAGTCAGAAGTAAAGAAATGGTATTACAAACCATCTCTGAAACTGTATCATAGTTATCAATCCTTTTGAGGTAGAAAAGACTCACATCATGTGGCAGTTTTCTTGATAGTTACCATATACTCAACCTAATTATCTTATTTAATCAAAATCTGAGCAAAGTTTTTAGGACAAAATTTTATCTTCCAGGAAACAGGGACATAATCAGAGTATTCTTCCCAGTCAAATAGGGCCAGTTGTCCTCACAAGATCACAAACTGCTTCCTACTTACAAATTCTAAAAATGCATCACTGCTGGTCTAACATTAAAAGTAAGTGGTGGATTTCTAGGGGCACCTGGGTGGCTCAGTGGGTTAAACTTCTGCCTTCAGCTCAGGTCATGATCCCAGGGTCCTGGGGATCAAGCCCCACATCAGGCTCTCCGCTCAGCAGGGAGCTGCTTCTCCCTCTCTCTCTCTGCCTGCCTCTCTGCCTACTTGTGATCTCTGACAAGTAAATAAATAAAACCTTTAAAAAAAAAAAAAAAGTAAGTGGTGGATTTCTAGATAAACTCTTCAGAAAATTTTAAACATTCTTAAATAAGCAAGAACTAGAAGAAAAGGAATTTTCAGATACAAAAAGAAAGGATGTTCAAAGGAATATTTTCAACAATGTTTTATGAAAATAAATTACTGTAATTTAAGAATATAGCCATAAATCTTTTCAGAATACAATATGCAGTATATTGAAAAGTGCCCAATTCTGTATATTTATGAGTTGAATATGTGCTGAAGAGTCAAAAGTAAATAAGTAGAACAGGAACAAAATCAATACAAATATTGATTTTCTGGCTTTTTTTTGGACCTTACACTACAATTTCATATATTTATGCAAGTTTAAATATTTCTATGAAGACTTTCATCAAGTTCTCTGTAATAGTCTAACACCAAAACAGTTTCAGATGGACAGCTCTCATTACTGAATGGCCCTTCTGACAATGGCCTAGATTAAAAAATGGAAATACATTTGTTGTAGGAATAGAGCATACACGTTTTGGTTTATTTACTTATTGTTATTTTAAAATATTTCTCAGAAGGTTGATAATGCTCAGCACAATATCAGGAAATCCTTTCTATGTACTTGCTGTTGGGTCTCTACCTCTTTTATTTTTGTTCAAAATGAAAAATGTAGATATGTAACACATATTAATATGTCTATTGGTACGACATTCGGTACAATTCACTTTAAATCAGTATACGCTACGATTGATGTATTCAGATTGAAATCTTCAGAAGCTGAAAAGAAAAGCAGTCATGAGAAAGGGTTGGTTATTTCTCAGAATGTTGGTTTGCCAGAGCATCTGTTGTCATCCATCACCCTGTGAGGATAGAATGCTGGCTAAGTAGAATTATTAGTCTTACTCCTCTGAGTCTACCAGGTATAGGCACAGGCCTTCCCAAACACTAAAATCGAAGCAGATAACCATAAATAATTTTGAGAAATAACTCTGAGAAAAAAAAAATCACATTTAAAAAACTATGTTAAAAAAATATGGTTAAAAGCAGAATACGTAATAAGTTAATAATTAACTTAATAATTAACCCTTGCGAAGAGAGCATACCTGAAAAAGAGAGATTCTGTGTTTAAAAGTTAGCACTTCACATGGACAAGGTCAAGCTTAAAAAGACATGATACGTTGAGGTTATCCACTGATACATTGCTTGCCCGATTGGTTTTAGGATGTGCTTAACAGCCAAATGGTCAGATCAAGGTAAAGAAGAGATCAGGTGCAAAAGTTCAAAATCACAGCTTCCTCTCTTACCTTCCACTGAGGAGGAAGCCGATAACCACTGCCAACAAAATGACTCCCACTGTCACGGACACAGCAATTATAGGAATCTGGCTTTGATCGCTGGACGCTGCAACTGCTGATAGGAAACACAGGGAATGGAGCCCGTGGTTAAAGAGATCATATGCATTCGAATACGAGCTGCTTAATAGTCGCTAATCGATGCGTGGTTTAAGCAATTCCCCCACACTTGGCCAAGATTTCCCCCTCATATCTCTGCTCAATGGTGTATAATTGAAAAGACATCTTCGGGAGAAAATATTTACTCTCCAAGTGGAAATTGGAAAGAATCACGAAGTCACTGATTATTTCCTTGTCATCATAAAAAACGAATGTAATTGTTCGCATAGTATTTATCGAGGGATCTTGGGTTTGCAAGATAAAATGAAACTTAATCCTTGACATCAAACACCTTCATCTGAATAAGAGCTGCTAAGTATATGAGTTCTGACATTTTAGAGTTTACATGTGGCTGTTCTCCAGAAAAAAAATCTTGATACCTCAGGCAGGGTTGTTGCTTTTTTTTTTTTTTTTTTTTTTTTTTGATTTATTCAACAGAGAGAGAGATCACAAGTAGGCAGAGAAGCAGGCAGAGAGAGAGGGGGAAGCAGGCTCCCTGCTGTGCAGAGAGCCTGATGTGGGGCTCGATCCCAGGACCCTGAGATCATGACCTGAGCTGAAGGCAGAGGCTTAACCCACTGAGTCACCCAGGCGCCCCTTTTTTATTTTTTTTAATTTCCCCATAGACACAGGTTGAACGTCAAAATGTTCTGGCTATCACTTCAGTGAATATTACGATAATATTACTCTTCCCAATATAAGTTTAAAAACTGTTTCAAGCAGAATCTAGTCAGTAAGTATACTTGATGTGTAGGTCTACTTTTCAAAAGAGATCAAGGCATGCATTTAGAACTTTGAGAAGTCTCCAGTAAAAGTAGATTCGTTTAGAGATGCCTGGGTGGCTCAGTTGGTTAAGCCACTGCCTTTGGCTCAGGTCATGATCCCAGCATCCTGGGATCGAGTCCCACATCGGGCTCCTTGTTCTGTGGGGAACCAGCTTCTGCCTCTGCCTGCCACTCTGTCTGCCTGTGCTCGCTCTCTCTCTCTCTCTCTCTCTGACAAATAAATAAATAAAATCTTAA